ATTGGATTTTGACGATTTTGGATTCATTAGAACCGTCTCATCGAGACCAACATTTTGGTAATAAAATTATTCAAAATAGACAAGCATATCAAAAGTTATTGGCAATTCTGTAAATCAGCCCATATGATAGCTACAGAAAGCTATAGCTATATATAAATTTTTTTTTTTAACAATTTGGCAATTATATTAATACTTTATTTATTTATTTTTTATTTGACAATCATGTTATATACTCTGCTTTATTAATGAATTGGAATTATCTCTACAGATAACTATTTACACTATGCCTTTAATAACAAAAAATCCAAAATGTGACTTACCAATTACTTTTAGATATCTAAATATTACTAGTATCTATATGTGATTTGCCAAAGATAAGTTTAGCCTTATCAGTTTGGTTTTTTCTATCTCAAAAAGATTTGCTTCAGATTACTAGCTCGGTTCACTGGCCTATTATGATTACTTTTTTTTTTCAACCTTCTTATTCTAGCCTTCTAAGTAAAAGAATTTACCAACAAACAATAAGATATTTAAAAAATAAAAAATAAAATTTTAAAAAAAAAGATAAATAACTAAACTAAACGAAAACTAAAAAAGAATAAAATACAAAAAGTGAAAAGAAGAAAAAGACCAAAAAGAAGATAACTATGATGGCACTATTATTATCTATACCAGGTTACAAAATTATATAATGTTGTATAGAAGAAAATCTACTCTAATATTATATATAAAAAGAATAGAAAAGAATTAAAAAAATAAATAAAAGGTAGTGTTTATAATATTAAAAATTTCTTAGTATGCTCTTCTGACTATCTTCTATAGTAGTTCTCATTTGTTTGGCTAAAGTAGTAAACCAAAGTTACTTATACAAGATTTCTCTTTATTAGATATATTTTAAATTAGAAAGGATTAAACTACTATTAAGGCAGTATTACTACTAATAGTTTTCTCAAAAGAGTAAAAGGATTGCCTAGTTGCTGAAACTTTGAAATATCAAGAAAGCAAAAATATAGAAAAAGAAATCTTTGCACTATTATAACTTATACCAGGCTGATAAAATTGTATAACAACTACAACAGCTATATATCTCTACTATAAGATTTTATCTTAAACTTTGGCTAGTCTGTTATCTTCAGATATTTTTTTAACTAATTAGTTCTGAGGTCATGATTCATGTAATCTTAAGCCAAATTCTTACTTTTTTTTCAAAAATTTTGGACAATCTAAAAAAATTCAAAACTTCAGTTACTTTCTCAGTGTTTTTTTTTGAAGTAATAGTCTAATAGCTTCATTAATAGAGTAGAACCCTACTATAGAAATTTTTTTTCTATTAAGATTTTTTATACAAGAGCACCTCTTGCTAGTTATCTTGTACAATAATACTCTGGCTTGTATACTGAATGTCTTTTTAAAGAAGTTCTCTAGAAAAGTAGTTAATCTTTAAACAAACTGCTATATAGGCCATGACTCTTCAATAAAAATTGTAGTTTTTTTTTAGCAGAAAAATTTGGTTCAATTAATTGTCAAAAAGAGTTTTTGTCTATAATTATATCAATACTTTATTAGGCTCAGTATTAATATCTATTTTATATTTATTTCAAAATAGTACAACTTATAACTTTGGTTATTTGTTATGCCTACTTTTTAAATATTAGCTAATCTGGCTTTTTGTAATCATAGTCAAAATCAATTACTTATAAGAATCGATAACAAATATTAATTAATCTCACATTTATATCAATGATTAAAAATTGATCTAAGATATGTAATCGTGATACAATAATTATATAATTAATTTATCATTATCATTTTGATTTTTATTTAATATTAGTATATTTAAATTTTCTTTCAAGAAAAAATTTTTTTTAATTGTAACAATTTTTAATTATGCCAAATTGGTCTGCTTCTAATTCTGAAATTCAACACTTTCTTTATATACTTCCAAATCAACATAGCAGTTATTCTTTAGATCTGCTTTGGCAAATATTTAATTTTATTAAAATTGATAGAAAAACTAAAACTGTTTGCATTTTTTGTAAATCTGAAAATTCTATCTTTGAAACTGCTGTTGTAATAGATACATATATTAGAAAATGTAAAAAAATTCCTTTAAATATTCAATCTTATCTTATTAATATACAAGAATTTCAAAATCAGCAACCAAAAAATTTGGAACTTTTACAATCATTATCAAATATGTCAATAGACTCTTCTAATTCAATTACATCATCAACTTCAACTTCAAGTCAAAATTTAACAATATTATTGTCTAGTAATAATCAATTTTTAAACTCAAATAAATCTAATCAATTGTTATTAGAAGGCATGATTGAGAGCAGAGCACCTCTTTCTTTAGTTGATGCACAAAAATTTAAAGATTTTGTTTATTCAATAAATCTACATTATTGTTTACTAGCAAGAAAACAGCTTTTAAATCATATTCTTGATAATACACATGATAATATTTAATCATTAATTCAACAATTTATTTATAAATCTGATTGGATTACTATAGCAACAGATAGCTGGACAAATATCCATCAGAATCATCTTGTAAATTATATTGCAATTGGTAAAAATAGAAAACCAGAACTTATTAAAGTAGAAGATACTAATGGAGAAAGTCAAACATTAGCAACAATTCTTCAGGATTTAGTAGAAGTCATGACAGAACTTGGAATTGATAAAATTAATGTAATTATTTCAGATAGAGCAGCTAATTATATTCAAATAAAAACATTGTTAGTACAACAATATCCAAAAATTTTAACATTACCATGTATTGCTTATGAATCAAACCTTTTGGTTGATGATATGTTAAAACATACATATATAAACTCTACTATAACTTTAGCTATAGTGCAGGAAATCTATACTCAACGGTTACATGAAGTGTTTCAATTTTTTAAATGGTTATAACTTTTTATCTAAGGGTTTTAAAAAAATCTGACCAGTAACTTTATAGAG